TTAATAAAAAAAAAAAAAAAAAATATAAAAAAAAGAATATAAACATTGTTGTATAATGTTAAATAAAATAAAAAAAATTAAATAAAATAAAATAAAATAAAATTAAATAAAATGTTAAGTGTTATTATGTTATTGCGTAACATTCTCAGATCCAGAATGCGGTAATGCGGTAAGATACGACGCCTGATAAACATTATGATGTTCGATGAACGTAGCCGGTGTTACACCATTATACGGAGAGAAAATTAAGACTTTTTTAAAATCCATTTTGTTTAAGAAATACATGTAAAATTAAAGAAACCAAACACGCTTTAAAAGTTAACACCTAGCGACTCAAACGACTCTGATAAATGAAATGAACTCAAAGACCAGAAAAAAAAAATATATATACAGTATATTAATAGTATTAGAATTAGTGGTTATTAGCATTAGTGGTTATTAGTATAAGTGGTTATTAGTATTAGTGGTAAAAAGACTCAACAAAGAAATCAATGCTCGTTACCTTACTTGTCCCCTTCTCATTTTTGCTTGTATATTTGCAGTCAACTAAGCCAAATTTTTTAAAAATTCGGCTAATTTAGCCGCTAAGCCGACTAAGTCGACTAATGCAATATCGGTTTGAAACACTAACTGTGTGGGTAACGTTTGAATAATAATACTAATCCCAATAACGTTAACGTAATCAGTGTAAGGTCTTTTAAATAAATTAATGGTAACTTGATCAAAATTCAATGATTGTACGTAGCAACAAATTCATCTTCAATGATGCAGGCTGTGCAAATTAGTGGCACTTTAAATGGTGTTAAACCCCTAACGTTAAATTCTTCATTATTAATTCTTCATTATTGAGAATTCTTGCAATGTTATACATGTATCTTTAAGGTAACAAAGGTGGTATATATTAAGGGACACTTGGCATTTGCTTGTACGTACGTACGTACGTACTTAGTAGTAGTTGCTAGTAAAAAAGAAAAAAGGAAAAAGGAATAAAATTCCTTTTTCTAAAAAAAAAAAAAAAAATACTAAATGATCAATTTTAGTAAAGATATGATTTATTTTACTATTTACGTACGCATTTAAGACTTGGAAAAAAAAATTAAAAATTGTATCGATATAGTACTGTACGTATGATCAATTTATTAATTTGAAATTTTCATTTAGGTAGCGATAAAAATACATGCAAAATTTAAACCATCGCGTAATTTTTACAAAACTAACAAATAAAATATAATAACGATAAAATTTTTCTATAATTCATACTTGAGTATACGTAGAAAAAAAATGTTCTATTTTGCGTAGAGCATACCTACACCCATTCTATACTTTTTATTGTAAATACGAACCAGCTTGCTTATTTGTTACAATTTTTTTAAATAAACCAACCATCAAAACTTTATATGAAAAAAAAAAAAAATTCATAAAGATCTTCAGTTAAAATGTTTCGCACGCCACAAAAATAACAATTTATAAAAAGCTTTATTATTCGTTGTGATCGTAATGAAAATATTTTTAATGCAGAGTCTAGTTTTTCCGGGGGTACTTTTAAGGTTCGTTCAAAGAGAATTGCAGGGATTTTTTTTTTTTTTTTAGTTTACGCAAAAAAACGCAAAACCGTGATACGACAAAATATTTTTGAATGTACACAATCGTACGCGAAAGTCTTTTAGCTTTTAAAGGTTAAATTATTTAACCAAATAATCATATATATATTGTTATTGTTTTACGCTAGAACACATTTATTCGAGTATGGTATTTTTTTTTTGTACTAAAAAAAAAAAAAGATTAAAAGATCCGGAAGAAATATTTTCTTAAAAGTTTTTTTGTTCTGATCATCTTGCAGATAAAAAAAGACCATTCATT